CATGGGTTTGTGGGTAACAGTAAAAATATCATCCCGAGGAAAATACTGTTACCCCGAGGCGTAGCCGAGGGTAACAGTATTTTTACGAGGGATGATATTTTAACTGTTCTTCACAAACCCATGTGTTATTTATTTTATTACCCCGAAGAAAAATACTGAGATGATCTGAAATTGTCAACTAAATCTAACTGTAACAAAAATAAACCAAGAGTAAAAATAACTAAACTGTCCTTACCTTTTAAGTTTTAAGTGTACAGTACTTTACTGTAGGCCTACTTGAGATGGTTTTTTTTCTTTTATTCTTTTAGCAAGTGATGATATCTACAAATTATAAACATACAATAAGCTAGGTTTTATTTAGGAAACAAAACACTAACCCATTTACACGGTTATGATCTGTGAAATCTGATCCTTCTGTTTCCAGAATATTCTTAGCATGGTTTTTGACAAAATAACGATGATATCCTATGTCCTTCATATCTGATTAAATTTGTTAAATAATCCTTTGTTGCATGCTTAAATCGTCTGCATGTTCCAGTTTGACACATATTTATTTACATTGCAATTACTTCCGTTGAAAACGGATGTTCACTTTTTGACTACTGGTTTGGGAGATAAACTCGGCCGAAAATCAGTTTTTTGGGGGCATATTTCATTTATTTGTTTACGTATTCTGATGAATCTTGCACCATAATAAACTTCAGCTCTTCGATTTTCCGGTATCAGCATAAAAGTTATATTTAGAAACATAACGGGTAATTTTGAGAGGCTCTGGAAGAGGTACGTAAAAAGGATATTTTAAACGCGTGCGAGTAGATAATTCCGGCTCTTTGTTTTTCTTCTTAAATGAGTAAGTTAAAACGTAAAATAACAGGTTAAGACATTTTTTTATTTCTTTGCTGTTCATTTATGTCAAATAAAATATATTTGTTACCAAAATTGTTGAGCATTACGTTAGTATGATAACACGATATTTATATGCAACGTACTATGTAACATATAAATCATTTTTACGTAAAAACACATGCATTATCGTTTATTAACGTATAACGAAATATGTAGTTAAAGAAATGGTGATTCAAATTTATTTTTGCTTCGCTTAACAGAGTGAAGAAGAAATTAAGTTAGTGGTATTCAACCTTCACATTAACATATATATATATATATATATATATATATATATAAAAGGAGCATTAAACATCAGTCTTTCAATCCATTCCACTTAAATATTACAATTGTGTAATCAGCCTTTTTTCTGAGTTGGCAAGTCAAAAGTGAGTCTTCATTTCATCTACAAAATGTATACGTAAACGTCGTCTGCTTTACCGATAGTCGGTCAATATATAAAAGTACCCCTGTGCGGGCCTCAAAATGAGCATCTGCTGCACATGCGCACAACAATGGGATTCCCGTACTTTTTATAGGCATGTTTAGTAAACAAACAGGTAAAAGTCTGTGTTATTTTTTAAATATCTTACCAAACTTGACAAAATTTCCAGATATTGTCGAATTCCAGCGATAGTTTGAGATGGTGGGCTTGATTAGATTAAACATTCCGATGACTCTATTTAATTATAAAAAGCCGAGTTTATCAACCAGCCAAAGTTATCTCCCTGGCCCAACCAGTATTCAACAAAAAGATATTTTATATGCGAAAAGCACACCAGGGTGCAAACAACTAAATTTTATGAGTGTCATAGTGACTCCAGAGAAGAAAGTGATGCCCTATCAGGGTTTAACGTTGAAAATAAGAATGAATCGAGAAAAAAATGGCGGCCATTTTCTTTCATTTTATTTAGGAAATAGACTACGTGACCACTTAAAAAATACTGTTACCTATGTAACAGTACACAATTCTTAGTCACGTGGTACACTTGCATTAACAGTAAAAATAACTCCCAGAGGCCTATGGGAAATTAGCATTACGAAAAAAGTGAGGGGTAATAATATCAAGTATATAATTACATGAAATTTGCCAGCTCTTAATTGAGAACAGTTGCTTATTCAAGTTTAATCATAATTACTAAACTAGCATTTAGGAGATGGTAACCTACTTAGATCTTGTATTGACTATCTGATAGAATTTAAATAATGGCGTCTTTCAACATCATTTGCTGTTCCCTGACCAATTGGGAAGCGACGCTCTACATAAAATGTATTTATAACCTTTGAGAGCGATTTTGGAAATAAGGATTGAATTCTCGAGCAATTAGATTTCACTTAGGATAAGTCTAAGCCAATCAAAATTGGTCAGGAATCTCAATCTTAAAATCAGTTTATCATATTAACTGGTTTTAATTACAAAATACAAAGTGAACATACAAACTTAGATTTAATCAATTTGTTTTAAAATTAACATTTATGGTATTAAATTGAAATGAATGGCAACAATTATGGTTAATTGACAGGATCTATTTATGGACTCCAAAGTCAACTACGTAAATAACCGAAAAAATAGTGCCATCTTCTTTAACAAAATTAAACCATGAAAGTTGATTTCTTATAAAAAGAATAAGGAAAGTGAAACACACGAAACAAAGTGGGTCAGGTTTCTATAATTTTATTTTAGACCTACGTTTCGGCTATTCAATAGCCTTCATCAGGGTACAGATATATCAGAATTTTTCAACTAAGGTACAGTTTTGACGGTTCTTTTTGTCACGTGATCAAATCTATTTATAGAAGTTATTGTTAGGCGGTTCATTTGTCCGTATTTAGTTATTTAAATTATATGAATAATTAGAAAATAATAATAATAAATGTTTAAAGTTATAGTGGAGGTACATGTGAGCATTAGTAGGTTTAGTGTGGTAGATAAGTTCCCGTAGGTATTTTTTCTGTCAGTTACGTCCAGGAAGTGGATCTCTTTATCGCTGATGTAAGAGGTAAATTTTATTGTGTTGTGTTGACTGTTTAAGGCCATAATGAAGGAGTTCAACTCCTGTCGAGAGTGTGGCCATATCAAAAAGATTTCGTCTATGTAGCGCCACAAGACCGATGGTGTAATTGTGTACGTTTTTAGAAATTTTTGTTATAATTTGTGCATGAATAATATTGCATTTGATTTGGTGAGAACACACCTTTCGAGGTAATCTAGGTGATGATGGGTCTGTGTAAGTTGTATATTCAGTTTTTTTAGAACTTTGAATTTTGAGAGGTTTTCTTGTTCTATACGGCCAGGAGTTGAGTCGTTGTCGCCCGCTTTCCGTTTTTAGCTCGACTTTTCTATGAAAAGGGGAGCTATCCTACTCGCCCCGGCGTCGGCGTCGGCGTTGGCGTCACACCTTGGTTAAGTTTTTCGTACCACCCCACTTTATTTCAGAAGTATTACAAGAATGGCTTTGAAACTTACCATACTTGTTCACCATCATAACCTCCATCTACAGACAAGAGTACATAACTCTGTCAAGGTTTTTGACAGAATTATGGCCCTTTTTTGACTTAGAAAGTGTATTGAGCTTGGTTAAGTTTTTTGTACCACCTCACTTTATTTCAAAACCATTGGAGGTATTGCTTTGAAACTGACCATACTTGTTTACCATCACGACCTTCATCAACAGACAAGAGGACATAACTCTGTCAAGGTTTTTGACAGAATTATGCCCCTTTTTGACTTAGAAAATACATTGAATATGGGTAAAATCCACTTATTGCCTTAACCCTTTGAGATATTGCTTTGAAACTTTTAATGCTATTTCACATCATTACCCCCATCTGTACGCAAGAGAAGGTAACTCTGTCAAGGATTTGTTTTAAAAATTAAGGCCTTTTATCGACTTAGAATCTTGGTTAAGTTTTTAGTACCAGTCCACTTTTTGACTGAACTGTTTGAGATATTAATTTGAAAGTTGGAATACTTGTTTACAATCATGATTCCCAAACATGTCCAGGAGAAGGTAATTCTGTCAAAGATTTTATTTGAATTATGGCCCTTTACTGTCAATGTTTTGTATTATAGGCAAGCACTAAAAAACTTAAAAAATCTAAAAAAATTCATTCCTATCCACTTGTTCACTTTACCATAAATTATGTCATATAAACATTGCTGTAATATTCAAGGGTATCAAACAACTAGTTTTTTTTTCTTTCTTACCAGCCCTCTTTTGACTTAAACATTTCAAACTTTGCTGCAGTGTTCAAGGGTATCACACAATTCAGTAAAATAATTCTTCACTAAATATCTTAATGCTCATGGCCATTGTTCACTTTAAAAATACAGAGATTTTTGTATTGCCTTTTACTGCAAAAACTTTTTTTATTGGCAAGCAATAAAAAAGTCGAGCGCGCTGTCTTACGGACAGCTCTTGTTTGGTGGGGTTGTTAGACTGTCCCGGAAATGTTGCTATGTATATAGACGGTGTAGTAGTAGCTTTTTCGTAGAGATTTTCAACCGACATAACGTAATGTGTAGGTTTCGAAGCGCGGGTCCCTATCAAAGGGCGATTGTTGTGCTTTGGACGGTGGATCCAAGAAGTGAATTTCTTGAACAATTGTTGATACAAATATTATGCTTACATATTACAAATACATTTTATGCAGTATAGCTAAATATAATTTGATTAAGTACGAAAATATGGATATAATTATGGATCTACCTAAAATATGACGGCTTCAACAAACATTGTAGGAAAGTTTAAGGAATACAGATATTTGTAAAAATGATTGAATAGATGATGATAAATGAACAGTCATGTGAAGATAATGAATACTACAAAAATGTTGGGAATCAGACATATTAATTCAAAGTGTAGTTATAATCTTACTTTGAAAATATCAACAATCAGACATGAAAACCAGACTATATGGCAGTTTGGTTGGTTTATCTTTTTCACATATGGATTTATGGATGACATACACATATGTATTTAAAAATGTTTCTTATGACAAGAAATTTGCTATTGGAAAAAATATAAGATGATGTTGAGCATGAATATTGTAGTCGTAATCTACATTTGTCTTACTGTCTTGCTTTAGTCATTTCCACATATTTTGCATACCTTTTATCTCCTTGCATTTATCAGTACAGATAGAAGTATGGTGATATGAATCTTTGCAGCATTGTTTCTCCCCCTTATATTAAGTGACATCAAATAACACTGTAAAGCATCTCCAGCTCTACCTTCTTGTTCCATGCATTTTCCGAGAATATTTAGAGCTGTTTCCCGATGTCCAAGGTTTCGTTCCTCTTTTATGGTTCTGATAAGTTTGACAAGAGCACTTTGTTTCTGATCTTGTCTTCCTAAATGGCTGTAAACTTTGTATTGTAGAAAGTAGAGGTAAGGAAGGGAATCCACCACAGCACAATCCATCCACATGTTGTCTTTTTCTGTTCGAAATATTTTGTCCTCTTGTGAAGATCTGAACATTTCATATCTGAGTTCATTTGGTACACAGTGAATTTCGCATGGCAGAAATATAACACATGATGCTGTTGTATACTGTAAGACTTCTTCATTACGATTGTAACATAATTCAAGGAATCCATATCTTATTATTTTTCTCTCATATTCATGACAACAACAGACAGGCTCAACAATTTGTTGATCATATCTCCTTTCAATCTCACTGAGTACGAAATCAGTTTTTTGTATTTCTTGAACACAGTAAAAGATTGAAGCTAGTTTCAGTCTACTTGATGCCACATCTGTATTCAAGCCAAATGAGATGAGTTTGAGGGCATCTGCTGGTATTGTGTTATACTGATAGATATTACGTGAAGCCAGGACAGATCCAAGTGTTGTAAAATACCAGGGTGTTATAAGTTGACTGGCTGTCTTATCCAGTCCTTCATATTGAAAGATAAATATCTTTGATACATAGTTCTTAAATTTTTCTACAGCTTCATTAAGACCACAATCAATAAATAGATAAAAATCTTTCATATGTGTTCCAGATATTTTTAAAGCCAGATTATATAATAGTGATCCTGGCATAATGTCTCTTGTCTTGAATGGACAAAAGTTGAGAAAAATCCTTGAACCAAGATCATCACATTTGACACGCAATAGTGCCACTCCTTCACTGTTGATGATATTGTTGAGTATTTGCAGGATATATGGTTTGACTGCAGGTGGAATTTTTCCTCTCATTAAATTGTTCCCAGGTATGATAAAATGTGGACAATGTTCATTAATGATATTGTTGTACAGGAGATATAAACACAGTGTTAGACAAAAAAGTAAGTTATTTTCTCTCCAGGTATTAGAATGTGTATTGGCAATGCAGTTGAAGAGTACATTTTTACACATGAAACTTGAAATAACATCGTTAAACAATGGCTTGATAAATGATTTTAAAATCATTTTCATCAAGACATAACAGCGAATCTGTGTAATATTCAGGTTGAACATAAAACACCTTTCTGCTAAAGATGTTGATATTCTCCATTCAAGTTGCTCATGTTCACTGCCACTACATCCAACAGGAACAACAAAGCATCCACTTCTGTTGCAATATTGTTTCATTTCAGCAGACGGCCATTGACCTTCACCTTGTTGATCCAACCATTGTCTAGCTTGCTGTGGCCATGTTGTGCAATAAAGAGCCATCACATGGTCTTTATCAGTAAAGCCGTGTTGTCCTTGTCGTACACCTGCTGGTCCATGTACTTCATAACCGTGTACATGTTCAGCAGATAATACAGAATTCTTTAAAAGTAATTTTCCTGTTCTGTCCATGAAGCAGTTTTGAGTAGGTACACCAAAAGCAGGAAGAGGAAAATCATCTCTCAGAAATTGAAGTAAACAATATCCAGGTGATACAGAATTATCTTGAATCATCAGTAGATTAGTTACACCAGGTATCCAGTCACTCCAGTCTTGAATCAATTTAAGTAATTCTTTGTTGGAGCTAAGTTGATCTGTGTCTGAATTCAAATCTCTTGTAGTTGTGCCTTCTGATTGACTCCCGAAAAAGTATGTAAAAATTTTTTGATCAAGTAGTTGGTAATCTATATTCACTATTGATTCACTCAGAAGCCATGATCTTCTAGTTTTCAGTACTATTCTCTCATCAACACCTATATCAGCCAGAACCTCTGATAGCTTCAGTGACACAGTCTCAGTGTAATTTGGTACTTGATACATTCTGAAAATATTATTATTGTTCTAAAATGTAATAAAGTTTCAAACATAAGTAATTTCTTTCCTGATTTTCTTTTTGAGATAACCACAAACAGATTATTACTGTTAATTGTTAAATTGTCAAATATTGTTGTTTTTTTATAAAAAAAATGATTTCAGATTAGATTTTATTATCATCTTCATCATTATGAATTTGAAACATTAATAAGTATTTTAGATTACTAATATTTTTATGCCCCTGCCATATATTGGCCGGGGCTTATAGTGTTACCCTGTTCCGTCATTCTGTGATTCCGTCATCATCAATTTCCATTCATATCTTAGTAACGGTTACACACATTCAACTCAAATTAAAGATATGGATATGTCATAAGAATGAATTGGTTGGTTTCAAATTGAGTCATGGTTTGATGATAACTAACAGAGTAATCCCTCTTGAACTTTGAAAAAAAATCAGAAATTTTAAGTTTCCGTTCATTATCTCCCCAATGGTTGTACACATTCAACTCAAATTTGACATATAGAATACATATTAAAAATATGCAGTTCAAGTTTTAATTTAGCTATGGTTCAATGATTTTGGACATATATTTTTGTGGCCAATATTTTTGCTACAAAATGCATTTTACAAAAAAGTTAACACGGAATAGTTTCAGTGCTTTGAACTTTGTTAAAAATGGTTTGTGTTATTATTGAATAGTTTTAATGGCTTTGAACTTAGAAGGAAAACAATAATTTGTGCAAACAAATTTGGAACTAAAATTATAACATCTGCCAAACTTGGCAGGATTGATCCTTGGGTAAAGGGCTTCCAAAGTTGTTCAAAGAATTTCATTCCATGCAGAAATCTGGTTGCCATGGCAACCAAAAGAAATTATAAGAATAAATTTAAAAAATCTTCTTGTAAAGACCCAAAAGGCCTAGAGCTTAGATATTTTGCATAAGGCATTGTCTGGTAGACCCTTACCAAGATTGTTCAAATTATAGCCCTGGGTCAAAATCGGCCCTGCCCCGGGGGTCATTGATTTTCACTATATGTACAATAGTAAAAACTTAAAATACCTTCTTGTAAAGACCCAAAAGGCCTAGAGCTTAGATATTTTGCATAAGGCATTGTCTGGTAGACCCTTACCAAGATTGTTCAAATTATAGCCCTGGGGTCAAAATCGGCCTGCCCCGGGGGTCATTGATTTTTACTATTTGTACATATAGTAAAAACTTAAAATGCCTTCTTGTAAAGACCCAAAAGGCCTTGGGCTTAGATATTTTGCATAAGGCATTGTCTGGTAGACCTTTACCCAGATTGTTCAAATTATAGCCCTGGGGTCAAAATCTGCCCCGCCCCGGGGTCATTGGTTTTCCTTTTATTTATATAGTAAAAATTTATAGTAAAACTTTAAAAAAATTTCTTCTACCAATTGACAAATGCTAAAGGTTAGATATTTTGCATGAAACATTGAGAAATGAACTTCTAGCAAGGTTGTTCAAATTATAGCCCTGGGGTCAAAATTGCCCGCGCCGAGGGGGGGGGGGGGGGGTAATTGATTTTCAATATATACATAATAGTAAAAAAAATCAAAAAATCTTATTATCTGAAGGTACAAGGCTTAGAGCTTTAATATTTGTTAAATGATATCATCTATAGGTACTCTACCAAAGTTGTTCAAATTTTGTCTCTAGTGTCAAAATTAGCCCCGCCCCGGGGGCCACAGGTTTTCCTTATATGTATAAAGTAAAAACTTAAAAAATCTTCTTCTCTTAATTTACAAATGCTAGAGTTAAGATATTTTGCATGAAACATTGTGTAGTGAACCTCTAGCAAGATTGTACAAATTATAGCCCTGGGGTCAAAATTGGCCCCATCCCCAGGCATCATTGATTTTCACTATGTACATATAGTAAAAAATTCTAAAATTATCTTGTCTGAAGGTACAAGGCTTAGAGCTTTGATATTTGGTATATAATATCATCTAAGGGTCCTCTACAAAAGTTGTTTTAATTATGCCCCTAGTGTTAAAATTGCCCTGCTGCAGAGGCGATAGTTTTCCTTATATGTATAAAGTAAAAACTTGAAAAATTTTCTTCTCTGAATTGAAAAATCTTCTTCTTTGAATTGACATAGACTAGAGGTTAAATATATGGCATGAGACTTTGCGAAGTGAACCTTTACCAATATTGTTCAAATTATAGCCCTGGGGTCAAAATTGGTTCCGCCCCGGGGGTCATTAATTTTCATTATGTACATAATATCATAGTAAAAAAATAAAAATATTTTTGTCTGAAGGTACAAGACATAGAGCTTTGATGTTTGATATATATTATCATCTATAGGTCTTCTACCAAAGGTGTTCAAATTGTCCCCCTGGTGTCAAAATTGGCCCTGCCCGGGGGCAGTGATTCTCATTATGTACACATAGTAAAAACAGAAAATAAAACAAATGTTTTCTGAATAGGAGAAAGCTACAGCTTAGATATTTGACTTGAAATGTTGTTTGGTGGACCTGTATCAAGATTGTTTTGAATTAAACCCTTGGGTCTAAAATTTTGCCTTGCCCAAGGGGACAGTGACCTACTTTCTTGTCCTTTGATGCACAGCAATGAAATTTTTACCATGTGCACAGTTTTAGTTGTAAAATTGAACTTTGATATCAGGTGACCTAGACTTTGATGATGTGACCTACTTTCTTGTCCTTTGATGTACAGCTATGACATTTGAACCATGTGCACAGATTAAGATGTAAAGTGAACTTTGATTTCAGCTGACCTAGATTTTGACAAAGTGTCTTACTGTGTTGTCCTTTGATGTAGTCATGAAATTTAGGCTGTGTGAAATATGACCTTCACCACCAAATTCACTAGACTCAAGTGCATTGATATATTCCTACTCTGATCTTTTATTGAGTTCACAACAGATTTAACCACTAATCTGATAATAAGAATTAGATTATTTACTAGGTCAGGGATCTATGCATTATGACAATCTTCAAAATTGTATAGAAACAACAAAAAATCTGTTCCTACACTACTATTTAGTATTGTATTAATGCGGTGGTATAGCATTTTTCACAAATGCAATCTTGTTTTAACTCTGGGGCCATTTTGTGCAGAGAAACAGAACATGCCATCGTTGGATACCCACGATTGATAAACATGTCACATAACATGCAATCAATGATGAATGTTATGGTTCGACCGTGGGTATCTGACAATGAGAACATGCCAACAATATGCACAACTAAGGATGGCACTATACACCCCTGTTCAGTCCTGTTTGAAATCTAACCAGCAGTTTAAACATTACTTTTTTATATATAAGTTAAAGATAGAAAACATTATCAATTTTATTCATATACTTATTATAGGTATTTATTGGATTCATTATTCAAAAATAAATGAAAGAGCATGGAACAAAATATTTTCAAGATCTAGTAAAATCTAAATGTTTTTAAAAATCTAGTAGAATCAAAACTTTACAAAAAATATATCAATAAATATACTATAAAGTTTATTATAACAATACATGTATTTTGGATAATACACTCTCAGCTGAAATACTTTAAATGGGTGTGGTATTATAAATGTTTGTAAATATTGTAAGTTATCTTATCAATAAGTCTATTCTTAATAAAAGAAACTTGCACCTTGATATTTTCTGTACAAACTAGAACTGCCATTGTCATGGTGTGAATACCCCCACATACCAATTTGTCAGAATCAACAATAGTCATTTACAGCTCAGACAACCTCCCAGCCAAATCTGAGGGAAGTACAATGTAAGCCAGTGCATTGCTAAGTTATATATTCTACATGTTTTAGTGGAAAAGATCAAAGTGAACTTTACCTTTGACCTACTGACCTCAAAACTGAAACTGCCATTGAATGACTTCAATAACACCCCCACCATTTCATGCAGCCTTGTCTGGAGGTGTTTTATGATGAATATATGAGACCATATGAGGAGACAAGCTAATTGTAATAAAAGCCCCTGTGACCTTGACCTTTGCCCCAGTGACCTCAAAATCAATAGGGGTATTCTATTAATCTTGACTAACTTCCATGCCAAATATGAAGACTATGGGTCAAAGAATTCTTAGGTAATTTGGCGGACAAGCTTTAATTAGCCAAGGTCCCTGTGACCATGACCTTAGACCTGGTGACCTGAAAATAAAAAGGGGTCATCTACTAATCATGACTAACCTCCATGTCAAATATGAAGACTGTGGGTCGAAGGATTCTTAAGTTATTGGGCAGAAAAGCTTTCTTCAATCAAGACCCCTGTGACCTTGACCTTTGAATTAGTGTTCTCAAAATTAATAGAGGTCATCTACTAATCATGACATACCTCCATGCCAAATATGAAGACTGTGGGTCAAAGGAATCTTAATTTTATGGACAGACAAGAAAAAACTGACGGGACTCCCAACGGCCAGACAAGCTGATTCCAGTATACCCCCCTTACAACTTTGTTGTGCCGGGGTATAACATATTTCAAACATTGATAAGTTAGCTCATCTTCTCGGTGATGAACTGGCGCCTCTATATTCAAATGTGGTTCTGTTCATACATAGGTTATCTCATGTTCTTCGTGATAAACTCTCACCTTGAAGTTGTTAGAGTTCTGTTCATACATATTTCAAAAATAGATAAGTGATCTTATTTTCCTGGTGAAAAACTGGTCGCTCATTCAAATTCTATATATATTATGATATTTCAAATATTGGAAAGTTATCTCATGTTCTTGGTGAAAAACTAGTGACTAGTTTTCTCCTCAATGTCATTTCTTTTTCTAATTAGATTAAGTCAAGTTACTATATTCATGAGGCTTTCGACATCATATCATCCAACATTGCAAAGGGCAAGCAGTCTCCTGGTATTCCAATTTCTTTTAAGTTTTGAAAAACCCAAATATTTCAATTTCTCTAGTGTTTCTGACATGAAGACACATCTACATGCATCTGTCCTTATCACTCCTGCTATTACTGTTCTATCATACAAACGCCTCT